TTTCAAAAAAGCAAATTTTTGAAGAGATGCGACAAGGAGTATCTGTTGTGAATTTGGCAGCTGAATTCTTTGTAGACACTTAACAGATGTGGAAAAATTCTAAAGATAATTTTTTAAATATTTAATGTAAACACATTCCTTATAGAAAGAAAAGGCTCTCCTGCTTGTCTATGAGGTGTGGACAGGCTTTCTTGGTGGGGTGTTACGGTAGCAGATGGGGTAACAAAAATTGGGAACAAGGGCAGTTGTGCTTTCTTTGCAGTCATTATACCATCTTCATCTGAAATATATAAATATAGATGTCGGTAACATTGTTTGTTTTTTGTTTAGTTAAGCACAAAACAACGCAATTGGCTATCTGTGATTTGCCCACCACCGGTATTGAAACCCAGTTTCTAGTGGTATAAGTCCGCAGACATGCCGCTGCGCCACTGGGGAAGGAGTGTAATGCTGTCATACTAATTTACACATTTAATCACAATATATGGTTCATTGCAATTATAGTTAAACTATAGTAGGGAGGAGGTTGGGAATGTGAACTACGTAAGACATATTAAGATTAGGGTTTGTAGTTCTGTTTAAGATCATGTTATTTAAGATCTTTTATTATTTTTTATTTCTTGTGTAGGGGCTGAGGTTGGAAGTTGCATATAGTAGAAATGTTAGGGTGGTTTCATTTCTACTTCCGGAATTATAAGAACCTTTAAGGGTAACTGCTTTCCCACAACTGGATGTAAACAGTGAAAGGCAGTAGGAATTGAGACGTTGTGGGTATAAGCACTCAAATCCATACCCTTAATTGATTTTTCATATTTGCTGTCTAGTTTAACATAAGCATTTGGATTTTTTTTCTGGTAGATAGGAGATTTCAACGCATTTGGGAGTTATTACCATAGGCATTATCCACTATGACTTTAAAGTTACAACGAGGTTTGACAATGGATTCCTTACTAAAATATGTATAGGATATTAGCATAAAATGAAACAGAAGTAAATCCTCAATACCTTGAAAATATTAGCATGAGTTTCACGTTAACTTTATGTTCAGTCTAGAAACGTAGCTCTTTCTTTGTTTGACTCATTTCCAACTTGGTTTCTTTGATTTATTTATTACATTTGTTTGTTTTATTTTTGTTTATCGTTCGTATATTATTCCTTCTACAGTTTAGTTAAACTGTTAATTTTAATTTACATTTAAGCACTAACTCTCCTTGTAGCTAAATGACGTCAATTTTAAGTTTTCACGAATTATGAGACTGGCACCAGTTCCCCCTAGTGGTGACTTAGATATATTATTAATGTTACAAAAGAGTATGTAAATAACTGTTACGTGAATTGTAATCTAGCAAATAAAAGCCCTGTCATGAGTTTCGTTTAGTTAGTTTACGAGAGATAGTGAGTAAGTGTTAGTTATTCAATGTTGAGTACATAATGTTATTTTGGAATTTGTTGTTTTTTTTAATTAATTTATTTATATAAGTATTAATCGTATGTTATTAGTTAATGATAGTAAAAAGTTCTGGTCATGGGTATATTCATAAACTGTGTGCAAAATGTTTCATAGATTATAAATTATTTCGAGGTGTTATATAGGAGGCAACATCCAAGGTTAAAGTTTCTGAAGTGACAGTGACAAGCATACAACTATGTCTTTGATACAATTAAAAGCAGGTAAGTTATTACTACTACTAAGGGTGCATCCATTATCATCTTTGGTTAGAAAAAAATGCTTGAAGTTCATTCTAATGTTGAATGGACTGTTCGAAGTTACTACATGTGTTACACTTTTTATTAGGTCGTCAAGAAATTAATATCGCGTTTTTGAACACTTTCATTACCCCCCCCCCCCCAAAAAAAAAACAAAAAAAACGTACATCACGTATAATAGTTAAACGAACCGTTTAAACGTCACGTTAGTCTAACCTATATAATGTGTAAAGTTTAGTATACTCTAATCTTACAGTGATGGTACACTACGAGACACGTATTCGGCATGTAATGCTGTTTGAATACGAGAAGGGGAAATAACGTTTCTGTAGCCATAAAGAAGTCTATGTAAATGTTTTGAACGTTCAAAAGAGTCAATGACGGTTCAGCAAATTTAGTTCAGGTGACTTTAGCCTTAAAAACTGTGATAGGGACCGACATGTTAGAACTGATATTGATGCTCTGAAGACGCTTGTTGAGTCTTACCCAAGGCAACATTCTCGTGAAATAGCCCTGAAATTTCATGTCTCTCATGAAACGATACGTAAACATCTAAGGAATATGGGGAAATAAATATTTTTGTTTTGATATATAAGTTGTTCAGTTTTTTTCGTCTAAAGAAAATGACATAAATTTCTTGACGACTTAGTATATTGATTAAAAAAGAATATTATGCTAATCGTGGGATGATTTTAATTGTCTGAAATAAAGATATATACATACTCTTCTCCCAGTGAAAATTTTTTCCACATCTAAGGAAATGCTCGGCGTCCCAAGTAACTGCAGAAAATGAAATGACGACAGAAGGCTAGGAGAGAGAGAAAACTAAGAGTGCAACAAAATAAAAGACTTATTCTGGTTTGTCCAATGTTATCCTTTGTTGCTAATAACTTGTCTTCTGCTCAACCTAGCTAGTCTTGGAACTAGAGAACTTATTTTAAAGAGAACCGGAATGTAGAATAGAGAAATTAATCTGAAGATTCATGAACTTGTTTTCTTTGTAAGGTATCTGTAGTCACTGTTAAGGACTCATGATGTCGGTATAATCGGAACGTGAAAAATTGGGAATTTAAATGGAGTGATGAATAAAATCACTTCCTTTGTCTAAAGCTGAAGGTAGAAAAATCAATATTTATTTTGTTATGGATTTGTTTATCATTTGCTTATTCCTTCTATAGCTTAAGTTGTGAATTTTTAGTTTACTTGTAAATGCTAACTGACATTCGTTTAGTTAACCTGTGAAATTTGTTTTAAGTTTAAACGCTACCTCACATTCTATTTAATTATAACATTTTTAAGTTTGTAACAGTTATGAGACTGACATCAGTTTTCCCTATCGTTGACTTGTAAATAATAATGTTGATAAATAGTGTAAATAATGTATCTTGAATATAAACCCTGTCATGAGCTTCAATAAGTTTGCTCACGAGAGATAGTGGAGAAGTGTCTATTAGATATTTTGTAGTTTTGTGTATATGTTTTCTTTTCTTAACTCCCTTTATTTACTGAAATAT